AAAAAAAAAAAAAAAAAAAAAACTAGAGAGAAGAAAATTTGCAAAAACTAAACTGAATATTTGAACATATATTTGCAGCAATACACCACCAGAAAATAAAGTGGAAGTACTCTATGAAATTGAAGTGGTCCATATTCTGAGCATTGAAGAAATCAAAAATACAATGTCTGTATTGGTGTATATTGAAGAGGTATCTGTATCTTTTTTTTTTACTATTATTTTATTGTCATTTTACTGAAAAAAAAAACAGAAGAATAAAAAAACTTATAAAATTACTTAGAATAAATTTCAGTTAAAAATTATTACATTAAAATTTTATCATTTTTATCACAAATACTATTAAAGTCAAATTTTAAACAAAAAAAAGCTTTTAATCTTTAAATAAATTTATATTATCAGTGATGTGTTGCATTGTATAATAAAACAAAAATTTTTTTGAAGCGATGGTATGACAAATCGCTAAGTTGGGATCCAAAGCAGTTTTCAATGTTAAATACCACATGGCTTCCGACAGATATCATCTGGGTTCCTGACATCATTGTATTTAACATGTAAAAAACAAGAAAAACTTTTCTTTTTTTTTTTCGTTTTGTTAATTTATTAATGTTCTATATGTCAATCATCAAAAAAATATTTTTTATTTTCTATAAGATATTTAAATTTTAGAAAGAGGGAATAAAAGAACTAGTGGTTTTTGAGGTGCTCTTTTTTGTTGCTTCAAGATCAAGCTTTTTTTCTTTTAAACTAGAATAATCTTCTACAACCTACTGCTTATATTGTTCTATACAGTTGTATAACAAATATTACTTCACTAAAAATTAAGTGGAATAAATTAGAGTAAAAAATTTTAGGCTTGAGCATACTGAATTGCTAAGAAGTGTTCGAGCTCCGGCTCAAGTTGATTATACCGGCCTGGTGAAATGGTCATATCCAGCGATTTATACTGTTATGTGCGCCATTTATGTTCATTACTTTCCATTTGATGAACAAAAATGCTACTTGGAAGTAAATTTCTTTCACTTCTGATATACCATAACAGATTCTTACATTCTTTCTATGCTAAAATCAGAAAAAAAAAGTACGAAGATAGTCGTTATTTTTTTTTAAAGCTTTGTTATAAGCTGACCTTAAAAGTTATTTGATTATTTGTGTGTAAAAAATTATTGCAGATTGCTAGTTGGGGTTATGATGAAAACAAGCTTCGGTTGAATGCTTCATCGAAACAACTACTTGTTCATTATACATCCAATGATGAATGGGCTTTAAAAGTAAGCGATTAGAAGTTACATTTGCAAAGAGCAAAAAGCTTGTTAAACAGATCTGAATGGCTTCTGACTATAGTTTATTAATTTGCTTATTAATAAGAAGAAGATTTTTAGAACAGTAAACATTATTTTTTAAGTATGTTGGTTTGAAAAAATCACAATTTGTTCACGAAGATGTTGCTGTTTCTGAGATAAAACTGATGATCAAAGTGTTACGTAAACCATTGTACTACATGGTATCGTTGGTTGTACCGTCATACATCATTTCAATCTTGTCTATTGCCGGCTTATTTGCTATATTCTCAACCACCAACGAAAGACAAGTTTGTCTCAAAAAGTTTTGTTAAGTGTTGGCATAGTTTGACTTGTATAACTGTAATAAGACCTATTTAACGTTATATACTGATAGAAAATATTAATGTACGAAATTTTTTAGGAAAGGTTCACACTTGGAGTAACAGCTACGCTCACGATGGCTGTACTGTCGCTTGTGGTTTCTGAAAAAACACCTCACAGCTCTGAGCAGATACCATTACTAAGTTGGTTTTTTCTGTTTGATTCTTCAACGAAAATCTTACATTTGCACTGTAAGCTGCTTCATAAGCTTACAAAACCGCGGAATTTTTTGGTAATGTAATTGTAAACAACTGCAGTAAGTTACTGCTTCTTGGGTGCTGTATATATTCAACAATTTCAGTTTGGTATTTCATTTACAATGTATTGGTAATTACAATAGCAACCATAAGCACTTCAATTTCAATGATTATACACTCGAAAGGTTTTGCATACAGCAGTAAAATGCCACCAAAATGGGCTCTTGCTCTCTTCTTTATACGAGAAAGTTGGTTCAGAAAACAGGTAACTTATCAAAACTGGTACTTCAAATATTTTTAAAAGCTTATTTGATTTCACCTTTTGATCAAGTAATCGAAAAAAAAATTTATTACAATTATCGATAATGTAATAGCATAAACTGATTTCTTCTTATAAAAATACACAGAAAAAGCGTTGTTCTATTTTCTTGTTACAAAATTTTACTAAGAAAGAGTGTTTCAGTTTAACTTTTATGGTTTTTAAGAGCAGTAATTTTTAGCTAAAAATTCCCGACTGTGTAAAAAAAGTAGAGCAGAGGCAATGTTTTTGCGCTGTACCACATTTCACCAACAATCTCAATCAACAGGTAAGGTACCAAACACTTGTTTTTTTGAGGTTCTTTGAAATAAGGCAGGTTTGGCAGTCATTCATGTTGAACTCTGGTAGAAAATTTCATAAGATTAAGACTTTTTTTGGTATTTTTTTAGCTGTTTTTTAACTGCAGGAATTATTATTGGGCAACAGAGGTGTAATTTTACTGCTAATTGTTAGCTATTAATAAGTGACAAATACAAACGGTTTAATTCAACTTTACTTAGGATATCAGCGAAGCAAATGTTCAATTGACAGAGGTATGGCGAACGTTGTCACGTCGAATTGACAACTTTTTGGCAATATTTTTTGGTTTTATTGTAACGTTACCAACCTGTTGGTTATGTGTTAAAACTATAGAAAAAATTGGAGTGCCAGATATGAACACTGACTACTACTAGTGATTTTTTTTTGTTAACATATATTATAAATAATAAATTTGATAAAATAACTAAATGCCAAAATAAATAAAATTGTTAAAAGAGAAAAAATTGTTGCAAAATTATGCACATTTATTAAAACTTGTTTGGTTAACTGTATTAATAAAATTTGAAAAAAGCATGACCTCTTCAGCAGCTCCGACATTAGTCGGTATTCAATCAACTGATATACTATAACACGATTATTGTCGCTAATTTTTTTATTTGTAATACAGAAGTGACTGTCAGAAAGCACTGTTATAGCCAAACAAAAGAAAGAAAGATTTTTTTGGTTACATCCAAAAAAAAAACAGTTTTTTGGAAGAAGGGAGAGTAGTTAAAATGAGTTTGATGCTACTATTGTTGAGAGGTAAAACTGATAATGAAGATGAAATAAATGAAGTTAAATTGATCAGCTATTCTTTGATCAGTTGTTAGCCTCAGATCACCGTCAGAGTTTACTGCAACTGCGGGTCAATAAATCTTAAGTTGCCTTTCAAATTTTCAAAAAAAAAAGAATGAAAAAAAAGAGAGAAAAAAAAACGAAGCAGAACAATTAAGCTGCTGAAATGTGATGATCATTTCAGATCTTTTTCTCACAAATTTTTAGAAAATAAGCATTAAAAATGTAGGTGGATAGGTGTAAAAGCGTAGGTAGATCAGTTTTTGAGGCACAACTATCAATTAAGTAATATTTTAGTATTGATAAGCTGCAAAAAAAAAAAATGTACTGGAGAGCTAAGTTTGTTCAAACCTAATGTTTTATTCACTGAAACCCACACAGCCACCCATAAACAGATACATTATAAGCAATTTCATTATATACGTGAAAAAAAAACATAGATTTCCTTTCTTTAACAGTAATAAAACATGAAAACAACATGTAAAATTACAAACAAAAAACAAAACTGAAGAAAGAAATTATGCAAATAATATTAAGACTAGACAAATAGATGACCGTAATTAAATTGATGGGAAATGGAAACAAGATCAATTATTACATTTGGTTTAATATCAAATAAGCGAGGAAAAAAAGCCACACATTTACATTATTATAGAAAAACTAGCAAAAAAACCAACAAAAAAACAGGATAAACTAAATTGTAAAACAAAAAAAAAAAAAAAAGCTTTTCAGAAGTTTTTAAAATCGTTTTGTGGTTATTGGCACAGTTATAGATACTTTTCTCTGATTACAGCATAGATTTTAGCATAGTTTTTAGGAACTAATTTTGCACGCAGATTGAAGGCAGAAACAGCTCTTCTGAATCACAAATTCTTCTGAAAACTCTCTTTTTTTTGTTGCTAAATTTATAAGCTTCTTGATGTTTCACAATTAAACATTTTTTAAGCAAACTGTATACAGAAAAATGAAATTAGAAGGAGAAAGACAACAAATAAATTATTAGAACTAGAGAAAAACTTCAACACTAAATTTGCTGCAATATAATATATACTTTGAAATATTTTTAAGCATTAAAGAAAACGTGCTGACGACAACGATGGTAATAAATCAGTGTTTAACAGATAAGTTAATGATTTAATAATTACAGCAAATTTGATCTCCTGTTCTATTTCTCCTTTTTTTTTTCTGTTTTTGTAATAAATAAGGTTAATATCTTTGTTTTTTTAGACTTAAATCTGTCGTTAACTATCAGTTTGGTTACCTGATTTGCAGATGTTGACTGTCAATTGAACACAACCTTAAACATACAGTTTAGTTCTTAAGATTCAATTGTGATTTCAGATACGCAACCATATCCTGAACCATTTCTCTTTTCTTTCTACTAGCTGGCATATTCATAATGCCATGATATGCAGTTTTATAGTATCGATAAACTACTGGAACATGGTATAATTTCAAAAGTTCAGTGTACTGTGGTCCATGATCTCGAAGAATATCATAACCACAGGTTAGAATCATTGCCGGACATAAACCATTCAAATCTTTGCCCATTATTGGTGCTAAATCTGGGTTGTAACCAATTCGAGCAAACATTTCACACAGCTAAAAAGTGCTGTATTAAAATTATACCAAAAAAAGTGTCTTAACTGTTGAAAAAAAATTTTTTTATAATAAAAATTTGATTGCTGAAGTAATAATAGTGTTATTTGAACAGAAAAAGGGTTCTTTTTTTGTAAATCAACGAAAACCTTTTCATCAGCAGGTAACTCTTCAGTTTTTTCATAAACATCGTAAGCATAATCTGTCGGTAAATTGTTCTGTGCAATTAATTGAGCATATTCTTGTTCTTCTTCTTGTTCTCTGAATAAATAATAGTCTTTTTAATTAATTTATTAAATGAGCAGTTGTTGGGTTTTAATCAGAAAGAAAAAAAAGAAACAAAAAAAAAAAAGAAAATTTTGAATTATGTGTGGTATATCAGTTGGCTGATAGATTAAGCAGTCTAACTTTTGTTCTCAAACTGCTTTTAAATTTCTCCACTAAAAAGTATATTATAGAGCTTTAAACTTTTAACCTTTTCTATCAGCATAATATATTATTTTCAGTTTTCTTCTAAAGCTGTTGGTTAATTTCAAATTTCAAAAAAAGTGACATTTTTTTTAGTTTGCTATTTAAAGCTGCTAAAGATAAGAAAGAAGAAAAAAGAGACCGGCTTATGTGTTGGTTATGCAAAAATTTTTGCACATTTGATTTGGTTGCCGGTATTCCAAAATAGAACATACACCAACGTGCAAGCATCGGCGGATTCAACAGTGCTGTACCATTATATCGCTTGTAATACTTTTGATACGATGGCGACATTTGATCAAACAGATGAATTACCGGGTAGATCAGAACTTGGCACTAAATTTATTAAATCAACAGCTAAACTATACTGCAATTACAAAGTTTCATCTTGTCATCGATGACTACTTTACTGCAGCACTCTATGTGTTTGATAAACCAAAATATTTGGTTAAAACTATTAGTAGGTTATACGTTCAAAAAAAGTTTTGTTTTTTTAACATTATTTTTCAAATTATAACTTTCTGTTTTTACAGATGTTATAACAATTATCAAATATACCTAAAATGATTACTTTACTATGATATCAATGATTAACTTTTGATCTCATACAGCCAAAAACTTAGTCAGAATTTCTTTTAAATCTGATAGCCGGAAATTAAAAAGCATTTCGTTGCAGACATCATCCTAGATTATCAGGAAGTGATTTAAAAACTAGAAGAATATGTGGTAAAAAGCAAAAAAAAAGACAATAATTTCGTAAGAGATTTTAAAATTTTATGTTTTTGTTTACTAAATGCAGCACTGTAGAAAACTTACTTTTGGACTTAAATAATTCTTTCTGAGAGCTCGTTGTGACAATACAGCTGAAAGATTACCGCCAGCGCTATCGCCAACTACACAAATTTTTGAACGATCAAACTCGATACCATCAATACCATTTTTGATAATTTCTACATAAACAGCTTCACAGTCATCAATTGCAGTCGGAAACGGATATTCCGGTGCCATACGATAGTCCACAGAAACAATGGGTAGGCGAAGAAACGAAAGAATCATGTACATTAAACTGTCATAGTACTCTGAAATGCTGCTTGATAAATAGTAAGTTTTGCACTATTTTTAGCAGCTTAAAGTAATCTGTTTTTGCTGTTGTTGAAACTATAGTAAATTATGTAATTCTGAGAGATATTACCCGGTTTCATGATTGACCAGCCTCCACCATGGATAAAGAAAATTAATGCATCAGTATCTGTTTTGTTTGGAATATAAACACGTACAGGAACACCAGCAATTGTTCTGTTTTGAACATGAACATTTTTTGGAGGTCGAGCTTTGAAAAAATATGGTAATGAAACAATAATTCTTGTAAGTTTATTACGTATTTCTGGGCCAAAGATTAATTCAACAAC